CACAACGCTTCCTGCGTGACGTACCATGGTCATATATGCCAAGTGCTACAACCACCACATAAACCAAACAAAACAAGAGAACACTACATCGGTAGGTTCATCAGAGCCTTCCGGCGGTACTCTAACTTCTCTCTGCCAAGAACGTTGGTCAGCATGTCGGCGTGCTGCTCTCCAGTCGGAACATACTCTGCAGTGATCTTGACCGACTTGAATAGATCGCGAATGAAATGGAACCGCACGTCGATGTGCTTGCTCCTCGCTGAGCTGAACGAGTTCTCGATTAAGGCGAGAGCCCCCCTGCTGTCCTCAAGGACCTTGATCTTCGCCCCACTCGTCTNGAGCCTTCCGGTGGTACTCTAACTTCTCTCTGCCAAGGACCTTGGTCAGCATGTCGGCGTGCTGCTCTCCAGTCGGAACATACTCTGCAGTGATCTTGACCGACTTGAATAGANAAACAAGAGAACACTACATCGGTAGGTTCATCAGAGCCTTCCGGCGGTACTCTAACTTCTCTCTGCCAAGAACGTTGGTCAGCATGTCGGCGTGCTGCTCTCCAGTCGGAACATACTCTGCAGTGATCTTGACCGACTTGAATAGATCGCGAATGAAATGGAACCGCACGTCGATGTGCTTGCTCCTCGCTGAGCTGAACGAGTTCTCGATTAAGGCGAGAGCCCCCCTGCTGTCCTCAAGGACNACGCCCTCCCCGGCTGCCACATACTCTGCTTCCGAGGTCGACTGAGCCGTCACTGGCTGCGTCTTGGTGAATGCACACACTACGGTACCACGTACGGTCACAGCTGACCCGGTCGTAGAACGCCTGTCTACTTCGTTGTCAGCGTAGCTGGCATCGACAAACACGCTTTGGTCTAGTCCTGACCCCCGCACGTAGATANCGTCTTGGTGGATGCACACACTACGGTACCACCTACGGTCACAGCTAGCATGATCACAGAACGCCTGTCTACTTCGTTGTCAGCGTAGCTGGCATCGACAAACACGCTT